AACATCTGAGAAATTGTCGTCATTTTCATTTGAAATTACGCCGCCAGACATTGTACAATACAAACAATAATGCAAAATGAAAATTATTCTAGTTAAAATGATCAACGCGTCTTACAATTTATGCGACACAGCATTTATATAGATTGATCGTCCAAACCAGTCTAAATACCGGTTCGACTCAGTTCAGTTTCAGTTCGATTTGATCCTCAAATCGAACCGAAACCGGTTCTATGATCAAACCAGAGTCAGACCGGTCTGGCCACAGACCTTAACATCCTTAAACAGAAGTTATTAATAGGGTTGATATTCCCAATTGATACCTGATTAATAAGATACCGATTGCAAACTATTGACAATTCAGATTACTGATCAACTTAATATTGACCCCATATGCGAAATATTGATTGCCAGAAAAAATATCCATACTCGAATATTGTTTTATTAATATGATCATGTTTTTCGCGATACTTGTGATGCATGTAATAAGTTTTTTATTACTACGTTCTCCAACTGCCTCTCTTTCAGTTTCGTGATTCTTTTTATAAGCTCAGCATTCCTTGCCTCGAGCTCAGCTTCCTTGAGCCCAGTTATCTTGGCCATAAGTCTGGCATTTTCTTCTCTAAGTAAGGCAAGCTCGGATTCCATAACACTTTTTATACAAGCGAAAAAAATAATGAAAGAGATATATATGCATCGCACAGCTCCTATTCTTCAGCAAGAATATCTTCTGTGCATTTCAGGTGATCTATTTTACATGACAGGTTATCTAACCAATAGATTCGTCAGCGACTGAACGAGCTTTCTTTACATTCCTTGGCAAAGTCCGCAAGATTTTCACAGACCCAAACCTCATACCTAAACAAAAAAAAGTGTGTAACATTCCGGAATGATAACAAATCCTTTGTAATACAGATTAGCAACATATCACTTTACATATGTAAAATACATCAAAGATTGACCCAGAAGTCTTTAACATATATGCAAATATTATGTTTTATTCAATTCATGCTTTTTGCAATATACATATGTTGTAGTTATAATTATATTATTGTTGATTAATATAACTCTATTCCTAAATATAGTGGACTTTTTCGAAGTGTTTCATGAATTCATAATTGTTGTTGAAAGTATTAGCACACTTAGGACAATTGAATTGAACTTAAGGTCTTTGAGGAGCTGGTGATGGTTGATAAAAAAACCCATAAATATATCAATGATAGAATTTATAGCATAGAAATAAAGAAATAAGGAATAGCAACGTACCGGATCAATAATTCTATTAATTAAAGACATATCCAACACAAAACCTGGCAAAACATCTTTACCGCTAATATCTCTCCATCCAGGATTACTACGTCTCCTACCCTCCTATATATATAAATTCGCTTATGTTGGGGATCGATTAACTAACCAAGCTGGACCACTGTGCTTCGTATTATGAGTTCATTTTTAAATCTCTCGTCTGCTTCCTTGAATTTTGAATTATCTGTGTCCTTCTCGATATCAGCAACCTCAACAAGAAATGTAGGGGTGAAGGGAGCACCCTGGAAGGTCCAAGCCTGTTCATCAGTCAGCTGGAGGACTATGTTTAGGTGTAAAAGCAACATCTGATGCCCTAATCGCTGTTTCATGATCGATAACAAAATCAAATCCACCCTGCGATGTAGTGACACCACCACCTTGCTGAGTTTGTATGTTCCAATTACGAAGTTGACTGGCAATTTTTGCAACCACCTGTTCTCTACGAAACGGTGTTTGTGCCATGGGTACTAGTTTTCCGTTTTTGTCAAGCTCAAAAAGGTTTACAGGTTTTCCATCAATTTCCAAAGTATAGTTTTTCAGCCGGCTGTTGATATACTCGAACTCTTCAAGAATATAGGAGCGGTCGAGGTCTAAATTATCAAGGTCTATTTCTTGGTTATAAGCTTTGGGTGTTTTAGCCATGTAGATTTTAATTTCTCATGCGCTGTCATTTTATTGATTGATTATCGATTTATCAAGAAAGTGGGGAGGAAAATTTTTTTGTCGCACCCGAATGATTGGATCATTTCAGTTGAATTTCACGTGACTTGGCGTTAGAGAGGATCCTATCTTATCAAGAAATTGGTGTAACAGGAATTGATGGAGTTTTACAATACTGTATATAAAAAAAAATCTAAAATTTAAGATCGTGACCCGTGGTCACAGTCTCTGACATCGTTACTTTTTTAAAGATTCTTTATTTATGAGTGATGAAAAAAATAAATACAAGTGCAGGACTAGCTTGATAAGCTTCTATGCTATAATTGCAAACTTGAGTTTATTGCTTAAAGTGTTACAGGTAAGACAATATTTTAACTTATCTTAGAAATACAATTTCGCTAACTCAGGATCATAAGGGAACTGATTCCCATTTTTGCAGTACTATGAGCCATGTAATCCATAATTCCCATGTTTTCCATCGCAGATAGGGCATGATGAATCCCATGGCTGAGCAGATGTAAAATTATAATTATCAATCCCTCTAAAGTTATTTCAAAATTTCAGGTATGTGAAATACTCTAACACAGATCTGATAATTAATTCTGAATCAGGTTTAGCTTTGAAAGTGATAGGCCCATTTTCTTCACATTGCTCAGGAAAAGATAAATAGGATGCTTTGTTTTCTGACTTCAAATTTACAAGAAGGCTAGCTTCTAATGCATGTGCTTCTGATAATTGTCATAGATCATACCCAGTTTCTTTTTTATATTTTTTGTATAAGCTGAACCAAATCTTATCCGTCAAAACACATGGTAAACCAGTTAATTTGGCAAGCCAATCCAAATACTTGGGGGTTAATACTTTATCAGACTTGCTCATATTGCCTTTTTATATGATTACAGATCAATTTAAATTCCTGGATAGAAAGCTGTCTACTATTTTTTATCATATTTTCAAAAAAATAATTAGATCATCTTTTGAAGTATCTATGATATAAGAAAGGGGTAATGAGATTATGCTGTTATCTCAATTTCACATTGTTTACATTTAATTAGAGTTTTAAATAAGTTGAGTTAAGTCGAGTTTAAAGATCAACTCTATTTGATTCTCTTTTTTCAAGTTGAATCAAGTCAAATTTATTTTATAAAATCTTTCAATTTGATTTGATTCGAGTTATATAAATTTTAAACTCGACTCAATTTGACTCGACTCGATTTTAACTTGATCGATTTTGAAAAAAAAAATAATAAAAAAAATGAAAAGATCAGGAGGGGGGAGGAGAAAAAAAAGCGAATGATTCAGGTTATTGTTCTTCTTGAATGATTTTTTTATTGTTTAAGTTGAACGATTCAGGTTATCATTCTTTTTGAACGATTTTTTTTATTGTTCAAGTTGAATGATTTCTTATTGTTTTTCTTAAATGATTTTTTTATCATTTAAGTCGAACGATTTCTTATCATTCTTCTTAAACAATTTTTTTATCATTTAAGTCAAACGATTTGTAATTGTTCTTCTTGAACAATTTTTTTATCGTTCAAGTCAACTTGAGTCAACTCAAATCAAGTCGAGTTTAAATTGAGTCGAGTTAAATATTTAATTCAACTTAAATTTGGCTTGACTTGCAAATCATCAAGTCAAAAAAACATAAACTTGACTTGATTTGAACTCAACTCAGCTTATCTGACTCTTGAGTTAATTTGACTCGTCCGAAACTCTATATTTAATAAAGTAAGATCCAGATTTATATATACCTTTTATAATTTTCTCATCATTATAATCTAAACTGCATAATGGGCATGATGTCTCATTAGTAATTGAAATTTTCACTATTAAATTCTTTATATAAAGCAGGATATTGGTCCAATGTTTTGTTGTGAAAATAGGAGCAGTTATAGAGTAGACTATTAGATTAAGGTAAAGGTAATATATTTGCTGATATACTTACCTTAGACTTAATCTAATCATTTCCTGAGGGAACGGTTTTTAAAGTCACATGACTCTAATATTTGCTAGTATATTTTTTACTTGATTTATGATATTTTAGATTTATATGTTAGTTAGTTTCGAAATTTCAGTTGCGCTATATGAGACTAGCTTAATTTTATCTATTCTAATCCCATTTTTTTCGAATAACATAAGATGTTTTCTGGCCTTATGAATTTTTTTGCGCAAGTTAGCTTATGTGATTTTAGTAAGAAGAAATAATTTCATTTCCTTATAAATCATTGATCTTACCATTTTATTCTTAATTCTACTATCAACTGTAAAAGCATCTACCTTGCTTTCAAATTCAAAGGAATAATTATGCCAATCTAATATTTTCTGCTAACTGGATTTTATTGCTGTGTCAAATAAATAAGATAAGTGCTAGGCAGAACCTAAAATCATATTCTCCAAACTAACGCAAAAGCTGATGATTTTGACATTATCTTGTTTATCTAGAATCTCTTCAGATGATATGAGTACACATAATTCATGTATTAGGCCTTGTTCTACAATTTGATTTTTATTAAGCAATTCCTCTTGAATTATGTCATCGTCTTGCTTCATAGATAGAAAATCTGGTTTATCTAAAGTCACATGATTCTGATCATTTTCTGAGGGAACGGTTTTTTTGAACTCTCTCAAAATTTCTGAAATTACCTGATCGTCTTTTTCAAAATTGTATAATAGGTTAGCAACTGTTAATTCACGTTGAAGTTTCTCTTCTCGCTTTCTCTGCCTTATCTCATTTCTAACAATTTTCTTATGAGCTTCAAGTAAGAAACTATTCATATCTTTCTTTTCTAATGATTTGCCGTTAACCATTAAAACACTTCACAAGCGCTTCATAGAGTTGGCAGATACTGTAACTATCTCTGTTATCAGTTCTTGTTTATTATAGCAATTTTCTTCAGGAAAGGAATTATCTATTTCCACATCCATTAATAGTTTCTCATGATACTTTGTAACTAAATTAAAGTTAGATATACTATTATCAGAAGAATTATCATTATTCAACTGCTCTTCCACTAGTAAGGAAGCCCGTTTTACTATTGCAAGTCTGACTTCAAGCTCCTTATTTTTTTGTATCAGTTCTTCAACTCTAACATCACGTTTGGTATTCCCCTCCATAATTTGCTTTAGAAGCTCAGCTTTTTCAGCTTTAAGCTTAGTATTTTTAGCTTTAAGTTCAACGATACGCTGTTCAATACTTCAAGCTTAGATATCATAATTGATAAATTTTATACAAAAAATAGAATATTCAAAAGTAAGTTAGTACAGTATATATCAAATATAAGAAAAAATAGACATAGGTTATGGCGTTATCAGATTTCTGAGACCATGCAGTCTCAGAAAAAATGCCAAGAAAATTTTACGTGATCTGCTTATAATGCAAAAAAATCTAATTAATGATCATGTAAAACACCTCTCAACATGTTCTGGACTAGCTAGATTATTCAGACTCTGATTCAGTTCAGAGCTAGAAGATTCTGAATCAGAACAGCAGTAATTTTTATCAAATTTTTGATATGAATATTTGGATTTAACTGGTCTATGACTTTTTTGCTAATATTTCACATCCTTTCAAATCTAGAGATTTTAAATTGAAACATGAGCAAGCAATTTCTTTGATAGTCTTACTTGTAATATTACAGTAACTAAGGTTGAGATGTTGAAGCTTTAAGTAGGAATGTATAACATTACAAATTGATGGCTCACTAATAAAATTACAGCAACACAGATCAAGATATTCTAATTTATAACAAGTATGAGCTAGCATTTCAATAACCTTATCAGTGATATCATTACAGCTAATCTTTATATGTCTTAAATTCAGAGATCTTTTGATGATAGCTATAATTAATCTATCATCACACAAAGCCATAGCATCATAAAAATCAAGATACTCTATGCTGAAACATCTTCGCATTAAAGTATTAGTATCTTTGATATCTCCCTTACTATTATAACAGGATTGGATTGACAAATGTAGTGCAATATATTGCAAATCTAAATGTCAGACATATCAGACATATTTGATATATTGATATCTTTGACATATCAGACATATTAGATATATTTGATTTATTTATTATATCTGTCTATGTATTAATTTAATATAAATAGAAAGCGATAAAATCATATAAACAGAAGTTCGCTTTTAGTTCATTTTAGTTTTTCTTTTAGTTTTGCTTTTAGATATACATTTAGTAGTTCTTGTAGAGGTGTCTGGCCTAACATTTCACTTAGTACTTTAACTCTTTTGATTTTTCTTATTCTTTCTTATTTTCTTATTTCATATATTATTATTATTACTTCTTATTTTTATTATTTATCGTCAATAAACATATTATTACACCTCTGAATCAATTGAACTACTTTACTTTTAATCTTGTCAGAAGTTCACTGCTGTGTAATTATAAACTTGAGTTAAACTGAGATTAAGTCACTATGTAAACTTAAAAGAATCACTATCTGAATACCCTGTCTAACTATCGCAATTCGCAAGGATTGTATGTTAACATTTAATGATGATGACAGGACTCTCTTTTCCTATTTATGTAATACTATAAGAAACACCCTATGAATAACTTTAAAGAATTGATAAAATACCAAAGAAACCATTTCACTATACACAATAGATAAGGACGTAACCTTAGAGAATCAACTAGCAAATTTTCCTTAATAGACAACTCATCTTATATCACTTGTAACTCACTCCTTAAAGAAATCTCACAACCTTTTCTTCATTTTTTTGAGTGGGCACAGAAGGTTTTAGGAGCATCATTATACACCAGTAAAAGTTTAAAAGCCTTTCAACTTGCAGTTTTTGTAGACACTACTAGCATACAGAAAGTATACTATAGATAGACTCTCAATATCCTTAGATATAAAAACATACCTATACCAACTTTTGAACGAGCTGTTACTTATTATATTAGAGCTTAAACTGAAACTGATTCCTTTCAAAAGAAATTTCAAGGTGATTTACTTACCTACCTCAATATATCACTCATAAACCCAAGTAAAAACTCTTCTCCTTCTGGAATGACTGAACTCTCTGCTAAAACAACCACTCTCAAAAGTAGTGATATTTCTAAATCAGCAGAAAAAAATTTCTCCTCTTTTCAAGAAAACTACCTACCTAACGAAACTATAATCACTAATACTACCCCTAGTGGAAGGGATACCAGAAAACAGTCTTTAAATTTTAATAAGTCATCTTTTAGCTCTTATAGAAAAACAGGAAAACCACCTAAACTGACCTTCGCAAAATCTTTTGATAAGGAAGAAGCGACTTTAGACCAAAAAGATACTGACTCCTTCTGTTCTTCTAAACATAAAACTGGTCGCTTACAGAGACAAAGTAAAAAGCCTAAAGGAAAGAAGTTAACAAATAAAAGAGCTGTCACTTTCCCTCTTATTATGATAGCTCTTCACCTTTCTCTAGTTCTAATTCTAAAGATAGTGAATCAGAGGGTGATGACAAAGACCCTTTTGATATCAATAATGTTAAAGACAATGACAAAAAAAACTTCTTCCAAATGATAAAGGTCTTCAAACTGTCTTTAAAACTGTTGAATTTGGTGAATCACGAGAAGCTAAGTTTGTAGACTTATCAACCTTTATAAGTGGAGACCAAGACCCTAGAAAATGGTTAGAAAAATATAACCATGCTGAAGATGCAAATGGAATTTCTGATAAGTGATATCTTACATTAGTTCCTTCTTTTCTAAAAGGATCAGCTCTTACTTAGAATAATAAAACTAAGAATAAAAAAGATTTGCAATATTGGGATAACTCTTGTGATCGATAACATAAACACTGATCCTTCATTTATCACTTCTTAAAGTATTATTACACAACACATAGGAGAACACAATGGCATTCTGCACTTAGGTGATGTAAACAACACCTTAAACAATCTGTCAAAAGTTATGCTGCTGATATTGAATCATTATACCTCAAACTCAACCCTGATTATAATACACCAGAAGACGAGAAAATCAAACAATTCTTATAAAGACTTCAACCTGAGTTTCTGACTGCAGTAGCTGCTGTTGCACCTTGTGATTTAGAAGAAGCAATTGATTGAGCTCGAGCTATTGAAGCTGTTCTCTCTAAAGATAGCATTCTTTCAGGATATTTTCTAAGTAAAACCTATTTGAACCAATATGATGAGGAAACAGAACAAGAAAAGACTCCCAATATATAGCAATTAATTAAGAAAAGTAATGAAAAATTGATGAGAGAAGTTAAACAACTATTAATTACTACTATCATTAACCTGTGTACTGATAATAATAGTCATCCAGTACATAATAATAACAATTAGAGAAATAGTACTAACAATGATAATCAAGTATGCTACAATTATAACCGGCCTGGACATATTGCAAAAAATTGTAAAACACGAAATAGCCAAATAGATGTTTTATCTGTAAACGAAGGGAACACATAGCTAAAAATTGTAATGTCATACCTACAGGATCCTGTCCACACTGCTACCAACTTAGACATTAGAGAAACTTATGTCTGATCAAACTGGTATCAAATTTCTATAATAGCCAACCACAATCTGGTCAAATAAGTCAATGAGCTGCCTTGTCATAAGGAAGTTCTATGTACAATACTCCAAATCTATTTCTACCACCTCTTTCTTCATAACCTTCTATGATGTTCCCTTTTGTTAATACCTTTACGACTACTAGTAACCCTTCCAATTCATTGAATTAGTCTTTAAACTATTAAGGGTACCTCTAAAGAGTAAGAGTACCAGTCATTATTTAAATCCTTCAAATGAAATTGATATACCTAAAGCTGTAGAAACTGTTTACTGTTATGCATTTATAGATGACAAACCTATTTATTTGATTTTAGACTTTAGATCTGCTAAAAGTGTTATGTCAAGAAGTTTCTTACAACAATTAAATAGAAAAATTAAAGGCCCATCAATAATTACTATGATTAATATACAAGAAGAACGCTCATGACCATTTGGAAAAGTCACTAATGTTCCAATCCAAATTAGTGATGTAAAAATTTCTATGGATTTTGATATAATTGAATTTAATGATTATTATATTATAGCTGAAAATGATTGGTTAACAAAATATCGTGAATGACTTTACTGGGACTGTCAGAAATTTATTTTTCAATAAAACTAAAAAGAATATCAGGTTCCTATAACTTGTTGGGAAAAATCTCAATTAGATAAGTTTCAACAACCCACATCAATTCTCACAAGTTCGATGAATAATGAATATAAAGATGAAAGTTTGACTATATAATAATATTATATGATATTAGGAGATAGTAAAGAAGAATCTATCTTAGCTGAGAATGATTCTAAATAAGTGACAGTTCAAAAACAAACATATTTGTCATAATATTTTGATAGTCTTAACCAAAATTCAAATGTTAACCGCCTGAAGGTTCAAATGAAAGTATTATTGGTAAGACCCTGGAAATAGGTGTTAGTATTATAAACTACTTGACTAGGCTGAAGATACATGCTCCTTATGCCAAAAGAAATTAGAACATTGATAGTTATTACAAAATATCCCTGAAGAAGAACCAGCTAAGATCAATTCATATACTCATTTAGATTAAAAACAACAAAAGGACTTACAACAGTTCTTACAAGCCAATACTAATGCATTTGCCAATGATTTATCACAACTAGGTTATACCATCATTGAGAGACATCATATTCCCATAGAAAATCCTCTCCTAATATGACAATGAGCTTATTCAGTTACGTCTTTAGAACAAGAATTTATTAAGGAAGAAATAAATCGAATGTTAAAATATAATCTCGTCCAATCATCTGAGAATCCTTAAGCTTCACCTATTATCCTATTATGTAAGAAAAATAGAAGTCTACATTTTTATGTTAATTATCGAAAATTGAACAGTGTCACCAGAAAAGACAGATATCTGCTGCCATAGATCGATAAAATATTAAATATGTTTAGGCACTCTAAGTATTTTTCTACTTTAAACTTAACTAGTGGATACTGACAAGTAGTGCTGGAAGCAGAAGACCAAGCAAAAACTGCCTTCATTACAAGTTAAGGATTATACAAATTCAAGGTTATGCTATTTGATTAACAAATGCACCTGCCACTTTTCAGTGGTTAATGAACAAAGTTTTTAAGAAAGAAATTAGGCAGTTTCTAGCAGTTTATCTTGATAACATTATTATATTTTCTTCTACTTTCGAGGAACACATACGAAATTTAGAGCACATTTTTGAGAAACTAAAAAAGGCAGGATTAAAACTTGATAAGAACAAATGTGAGTTTAGCAAATTAGAACTCGCATTTCTGAAACATATAGTTAGCAGATAAGAAATTTTGCCAGACCTATCAAAAATAGATAAGATTAAGAACTTTCCAATTCCTAAAAATATTACAGAACTTAGAGGATTTCTTGGATTAGCCTCTTACTATCGAAAGTTTATCTAAGAATTTTCTATTAAAGCTGCTTCTTTACATTTACTATTGCGAAAAGAAACCTCTTTCGAATGGATTTCATCTTAGCAGAAAGCGTTTGAACATTTAAAAAATTGCTTGATTTCAGCACCAATTTTAATATATCTAAACTTCAAATGAAAATTTTTATTATTTACTGATGGATCTTATGTAGGATTTAGAGCAGTACTAATATAACTAGATAATCAAAATAAAGAACACGTTATCACATACGCTAGCTGAAGTCTAAATAATACTGAGTGAAATTATGCATCTACTGAATTAGAATGTCTCGCTGCCATTTAAGAAATAAAACATTTTAGGTCATATTTACTTTATTAACTATTTGAGTTAATAACTGACTACGCAATGTTATAATAGTTGTTTAATAAATCAGATCCACTTAGAAAATTTATGAGATGAATTATTAGAATCATGAAGTTTTCTTATAAAATTAAATACAGAAAAGGAAAAATACATTCAAACATAGATGCTTTATCTTAACTCCCCTCCCTTACCATTTGAATTACAGCTCAGAAAATAACCACATAAAGAGTGAAAGCTTAAGTGTCAGCAGTGTGACTGACAGCTCTAACAATCAAAATGAATTTAGAAATCTATAACCAACTTTATAATTTTCTCAATATCTTAACTTATTTACCAAATACTATCCTCACATAACAATTTAAAATTCGAAAATAATCCTTCAAATATTTTATTAAAAATTAACAACTTTATCATAGGAATCAAAAACAACCTTCACAACCCCTATTAGTCATTAAAATTACTGAAATCAAAACCTTAATCTATAATATATATAACGAACCCCTAGGTAGATATTTAGGTTGTAATATAACTTACAACAAAATAGCCTCTAAGTATTACTGGCCAAATATGTATCGAGTAATTGATAATTAGATAAAAACGTGTGATGTTTACTAATAACAAGGGAGACCTAAATAGATAAAATCCTTATACCCAATACCCGTCATATAACCCTTTAACCATGTTAGAATAGATTATGTAAGACCTCTCCTTCAAATTGCTAAAGAAACAGATACATTATAGTTGCTACTAAATATCTTACCAAATGGATAGAAGCTTCTGCAACTCCTGATTGTACCTTCCAACTGATAACATAATTCATTTATAGTGAAATAATTTGTCGACATGATACACTGAAGGAAATCTTAATGAACAGAGCTATGTCTTTCCAAAGTGAGTTAATTACTGTCCTTATGCATATTGTTGAGACCAAACATAAATTATCATCTCCATATCATTCTCAGACCAATAGATTAACTAAATGGTTTAATAGGACTCTCTATAATATTTTAGCTAAATATGCAGAGCAACATAAAGGTAAATGGGATTCATATCTACCTTCAGCTCTGTTTGCTTATCGAACTGCGCAGCAAGAAACAACTAAATTAGAGTCCTTTGAATTATTATATGGAAAAAAAGTCACATTACCAATTGATTTACAATTGTAATGCCTTTCGCCTGAAAGTAACCTTCTACAAGCAGTAGATAAACACTATCAATTAATTTTAGCCCAATTAGAACAGAGGAGACTTGATACATAACA